CCACCCCCACCCCTTACACCATCAGAGGAACTCAGGACACTTGTAATGTCCATTCACTGAACACTGTATTAACTTAACTTAAACAGATTAGACTATGAATGGATGGAAGTAATTGGCAACAATACTCAGCTAGGCTGTGGGCTTTAGATGATGCACAGTTGGTACTAAGGAGCCCAAATGTGTGCCAAGAACATATCCTGGGCACCGGACACATCCTGAACCACTGACACAGGGCTGGGTGGTTCATGCTTTCATGTTGTTTACACTGAATTCTGACCTTACCACACGATTAAAAACACGTGAGAGTGTTTTTAATCAAAAAGGCAGCCACACAATAATTCCTTTATTTTCCTGCGCGCTTGTTTAAGCAGAAATCAAGACTCACAGATCAGATAACATTTTTCCAATCTACTATTTTTAAAATTTTGGTTAACCTATGTGATTTGTAGCCTCAGCTTACTGCTCTTAGCTGAGAGAAATGGCAGTCAGGGTGGTCTTCTGCTGCTGCTGCAGCCTATCTGCTTCAAGGCTCCACATGCTGTGAGCTCAGAGATCCTCTTCTACAATAACTATTTGAGTGACTGTTGCCTTCTTATCAGCTCAAATCACTCTGGCCATTCTCCTCTGACTTCCTGCGGGATTTTCTCTTTTTCAAACTATATTTGTTAAGCCCCAGAGATGCTTCCAGCAGATCAGCAGGGTCTGAAATACTGGCTCATCTAGTACCAACAACCATCCCACGTTTAAAATCTTTTAAATCACCTTTCTTCATCCTTCTGATGCCTGGTTTGAACTTCAGTTGTTGTTATCCTCTGACCAACAACTGCACGATACCCCTTCAACAACAACATCTGTTTCAACCTTAAGATTTAAAAACAAAGGAAAGCTATAAACATTTAAATATTACTTTCAGGTTCTTTTAACTGAATGGATTGAGAAAAACAGCAATTCTCCTCAGCTTTGGCAGACAAAGCAAACTAAGCTTTATGCAAACTAAGCCATTTTTTAATGTGGCAAGCAGCTGGGTGCTCTGATGACAGGGGAAGAATATAGATGTTGTTCTTAGGACAGAAACCACTTTCTAAAGTCAGCATGTGCTTCCCGAAGTCTTCATTTCTCTTGGGACCTCCAGCTGTATATTAAACCACCACTGATGACTTATCATCAGTAACCATCCTCATTTACAGAGCTGTTATCACCACAACCTTCCACCTTAAAAACATTTTACAACCTCCTGCAGTTGCTTATTATTGGCATGGACGTGGTAAGACACTAACACCAATATAGACCTAATCCCAACCCCTGACTATTTCAGGCTAAAGCATGCAGCTGCGAGTTGATTAACAAAACACTCACAAAGCACCCCAAGTGCACACACATTGATGTTAATGAATGTGATACCTTTTTTAGAAGCAGTTCGTGACGAAGGGCTGAAGAACTTCTTGACGGTGGTCACTTTCCGAGTCTTTTCATTGGTTTTCTTCTCCTCAAACTTGGAGAAGGGACCCAGCGAGGCATGTCCGGGCTGCGGGGTCGTTGTGGACTGAGTCTGCACGCCGTGACTACTGGCATACGCTGCCTCCTCCTCTCGTTGCAGCCTGGAACAGGGTAAAGTTGATTAGAGGGGAAACAATAAGCTTGCAATGAGCATGTCTGTTTCTTTTCAAATGAATGCACCTGGTGATTTATAAAGTGGTTCATTCATTAATGGAGCTATTTAGCACAATGTTCTGTGTTTCTGCTTTTAGCCTCTCTCACACTTTGCTTTCCTCTGGAGATGTTCGAGGACTGCTAAAGGTCTTACTTTTCTGCCAGTGCCCAGTCATCCTGGATCTGTTTCTGCCGTACCCGCTGGTACTCCTCCCTCCAGCACTTTGAGCACAGGCCCTGCCAGGCTGCGTTGCCATAGTAACCGCATCCTTTTTTGCACAGCAGGTCTGATTGGTCCACGTGTATCCCCCGTCGCTCCGTCCGCTGACTCATAATGCTGGACGACACGGGATGAAAAATTCATCATCTGATTTATTAGTGTGTTTGTATGCGCTGCTGGTCAGACCCATCTCCCCGCTGCTGCTTGCTTATGCAGCTCAGATTATTAAACAGTTTACACACACAGTTAAGGCAGGAATAACATGCCGGTCCAGCAGCGCTACACTAATAAAACTCTGCAATAAAAAGGGAACGCTCTAATTATCGAGTTCTTCCGTAACACTCAGACACAGACTAAAATAAAAACAGTCTTAATACAGACTCTTCGTAACTCAGTTTCACTTTGTCTTTCTCCTCTCCTTACTTCCCAGCATCCATGATTTCTTCCACCTTTTCCTGTATCTTAGTCCATCACAGGAAAGTTGAGAGAAATCAAAGGATGAAAAGTTATTTTAGCACCCTCTGGTGAATTTTTGATAGTTTACAGTTTCTATTTTTTACCCATATACAATGACTTCTATCATTCTTTTTAATTTTCTGTTTGATTAGTATTTGCTTATGCAATTAACCATAGACTGTATATAAAAGATGGACCTGAACCCTATGACAGAGTGCCTTAAACCTGCAGCTTTTCTAACAGCCAGCATGACCTGCAATCTGTGTCTCAAACTCGTCTTATCTAACAGTATTATTATACAGAGAATAAAAGCCTTGATTTGGATGAATGCTAATTATTTTTTCACTGCAGGGTGGAGACTTTAAGTGGGGATTACCTACTCAAGAGGTGTGACTAAAGGGACACAGACCACATTTACCACTGTAACAACTTCCATGATGGATCTGAGTATCTGAGTGACTATCAATGTGTCAAATGTCAGCATGTACACATTTCTGCTTGTTGTTTAGCTCAGCGGTCCCCAACCCCCGGGCCTCGGACCGGTACCGGTCCGTGAGTCCTTTGGTACCGGGCCGCGAGAGTTGAAGCTCAGGTGTGAAATGTATGGTTTTCAGGGTTTTTATCGGTTTTCAGCGTTATTTTGTTATCGTTTTTATCGTTAACTCGGTTTTCTTGGGTCTTTTCAAGTGTGTTATGAATAAATCTTATTTTTTTCGGTACCGGTACTAGTTTTATTTTGTTGTATTTATCCGCGACATCTTAAAGGCCGGTCCGTGAAAATACTGTCTGACATTAAACCAGTCTGTGGTGCAAAAAAGTTTGGGGACCGCTGGTATATGACATTAAAGAACACAGTTATTATCAGATTATTATGATAACCCAGTATGTAACGTTAATAACGTTTAGCTAGTCAATGTACATTCGCACTAAGCAGCAGGCAACCATAATGGGATTGGCGTTGATGCCTGAGTTTGTATAGTAAAATCTCTTCTGAATGTATCAGAATAATTAAAGTAAATATTCTGCATGTCCCCTTGATGGGAATCAGTCTAAAATTGATTTTCACTTTTAGGACCTGCGATCCTGAGAGCAGATAAACCCTAACCTGCCTGTAATCCATGGCATTGTTCAAAAGAAACTTTGGTCTGTGACGCTGTAGAACACAAAGCCAGTTTCACTTGTTTATTACCTCTAACTATGATCTAAGAGTTACCTGCTCCCCAGTATGAAGATTTGCATGTCCTATTCATAGTTTTACAGCTCCAAGAGCAGCAGGTGAAAAACAAACATAAAGTCAGCATCTAATGCAGCGAGAGAATAGAGAATTATAAAGTCCAAAATGCGAGAATACACAAGGAGGAAAGCCAGAAATCACTAGAAATACAAAAAGCTACATAGACGACACAATAAAGGAAAACTGAGAATAAAACTAAAATAAGATTAACTTGACATGAACGAAGAAAGAGGAAGGCAGGGGAATACCTAAAGTCAAAAGACAAACAGACGAGAGAAGGAGGAAGTGAATGAAAACACAAAATGGGAACTAACTGAATACGACCCTCAGTCACAGGTAACTAAAGCTAACCGAGTCTAAAACAGATGTAAGAATACAGCGTAGCTCAAACCATAAACAGCCCAAAGAGCACATCAGAAAATAAAAAACACATTTAAACTTCTAGATACAAGTAACTAAATTAAAGCAACAACTCTACAAGCAGTAAATTAAGTACTACCTGGAGCAGTGTTTCCCACCACTGTGCTGCAGCACATAGGTGTGCCATGAGAAATGATCAGGTGTGCTGTTTCCACCTGATTAGTACTCTAAGCGACCGGCGTGAGTAATGGGCAGAACAATTACACTGTCTTCGACTAGAGGGAAGCACAACTGAAGAAGACGAAGAAGAAATTACATAATAGTCATGCTGTGAGTGAGACAGCACAGCGTGTAATAGCAATAGATAAATATTTGAAAAGAAAAAGTAGTCAATCTGACCTGGGTCCTGGAGAAATTCCGACCCAGATGAAGGCCCTAGCATGAGTAGCAGTCAAAAGAAAACAAAAAAGTATACTGGGGACAAACCGAGTCAATTCCGCTATACCTGATGCGCAGGGGGAAAATGATCAATATGCTTTTTGTGATATTATTGTTTGGTGGGGTGCCGTGTGTATTTTCTAATGTGAAATATGTTCTGTGGCTCCAAAAGGTTGGGAAACACTGACCTAGAGCATAGATATACAGACGACCCACTCCAAAGGTGAACCTAAAATGCAAGGCTCTAATGACAGGTTCTCAGAATCAGTAAGAATCATGAGCTCCCAAAATGCAGGGAACACGACACTGCGGGCAAAAGATGGCTGCAAATGACAATATGCAGCAAAGTGGAAAAACACTCATCAAAGCAGGCTGTTTTGTTTGCTATGTAGGAATCTATTGTAGTGGAATATCTATTCATTCTTTTTTTAAAGCAACTGCCTTTTGTTCTGTTTTTTGACATTATCTACTAAACTAGGCGGTGCTCACGCAAGGCAATCACACTTTTAAGGTTGTAGCACATAAACTTTGGAACAGCCTTTCTCAGCCTATCAGGTTCCATCAGGAATCTTAAACTTGCTAAAAACTCGTCTTCATAGGTTAGCTTTTCTTCATTACTGTCAGTTAAGTCAAATGGCACAGCAGGCCAAATAGCACTAAGTGGAAGTGGAATTTAATAATTTAAACAGTATTATTACATCTGATTGAATTACATCAGTCTGAAAACATGAGAATGAGAATATTGCACATATTACAGCAATTTTATTTGTTTCAGTTCTCACTTTGTTCAATTTAGCTTCATAATTATTCTATAAATGTTGCATGAACAGCAGTAATAAATGATAATGGGATCGCTGTGTTTCCTGAATTATTTCTGCATAAGAAATAATTCTTTGGGGTTTTTTTTCGTTTAGCAGAGGATGCAAATACAGAAACTACTACAAACTAAATTAAAACTCAAGTGAAACACGTGAACTCACACAGAAGCTAGCTGAAACTAAGAACTAAGAAGATGTAAAAGCAAAGATTTTAATAATAAAAATTAAAACTAATGTGTTTGAAGCCTCTGAGCAAGCATTCAAATACATCAGAATTACTGTTACCTATGATGTCATGTACTCAATTATCTATATTAGTCTAAGCATCCACTGGATTATTGTTGGCGGTGATGTTTTCCTCCAGTTAACAGTTATCCTATAGCGCTCTGAGGAAGTACTAACACCATAGAAACATAGTAACAACTGCCAATATCTCTATTATTGGACAGGCCCAGAAGACACGATCCCCAATGAACCTGCAGCTCCTCCAATCTTTATCTGATGCTGAGACCCGAGAGTCTCTAAAAACTCTAATTTATTCTTCCAATCAAAATTTTTCCCATAGATTACTACTAATACTTTTGTGACAATTCATACACATGTCCACCCGGGCGCTGTCCTCAGTGGACACACTTAATCCAAGTATGTGTACATGATACACATAAATTAATAAATCATTCTGACCTACTAATAAGAATGAGTACTTTAACTCTTTAAGTATATTTTGATGCTAAAACTGATTAGCAGGTTGTGACTTTTACTGGACTTCTTATTCAAGACTGCTGCAGCGGTTTCCACATCTGTTTTTCACCTGATCAAGCATTTTGATTTGCTGTGGGGCCCCCCACTGCCGTGATCCTGGGCGCTGCCCTGTCCATTACAACCATAAGAGGGCCATGAACGCTCTTGCAACTCCCGACACCCCCCAGCTGCTTATTTGTTCCAGCTTCCAAAAGACGGTTTGTTAAACCGTTATTACGTTCCAGCTACAGCTTCAGGGCAGATTTAAAGCTCCCGAGCAGTCCAATCAGTGAAGAATGACCCTCCTTATGAAAAGGTTTCGCTACCCTGTATTTTAGTATCGCCCAAATCTCTCACGGGTGGTCGATTTAGCCAAGATCGGACAGTCGCAAATACACACATCACAAGTTTTAGCCCCCCTTCAAGTCCTTAAAGCTTTCAATCAGGTTTCCCTTTCAATTTTTCTTGAGTCTGGAGGTCATCGAGCAGCCAGTCCAGCCGTGTTTTAACGGCCGTCGCAGGAAAATAAGACAGCTAAATAAAAATATTACTTGTTTTGTTAGTTTTTGAACGCGCCGTGTGCCCGCTGTGCCGATCAGGTACTCACCTGTTTGTGATTTCACCGTCAAGGAGCTGGAAACAGACCTCCGCCTCCGATGCGTTTGTGCTGACCGGACTGTGAGGGTCCGGACGTCTACGTCATCACGCAGACAACACGGAAGTCCGGCAGCTAACTACCCAGAGCGGAAGTAGAAACGCACAAGACTCTCCTAACCAAGGATTGTGGTTAGAGTGCCTTCGGTTTCAGATGGAGGACTTATTTTAAAGGATGGGTTATTGTTGTCATATTGACGAACAGGCTGAGATCATACACAATATGCAGTTTCGACACTGAATCTCTCTTTTCGCGCACCCATTGACTCTCTCGTCCTTACATGTTCATTATAATTTACGCCTCCCAGAAGAAAGGCGCAAAACCTTCACATAACGAGTTCTTGTAAGTTAACAACAGATCTGAAACTAAACATTTTTGAACTTGGCAGACCCCTCGGGTGCATGTCAACCGTTTACATTCATGTTTACAACAGTTGCCTCAAAGCGCGTTAAGGCAACTGTTGTTGTGATTTGGAGCTCTAAAAATAAAATTGAATAGAATATGAATTCAATATAGAAACGAGACTCTGCATGTTTGTGAAACTGTTATGTATAATTTGTCTGGAAGAAAGCTTCTTCTCTCGAAAAAGTACATCATAACATCTGAGCAAACCGCACGACTTCTTGGACGTCGTGGGGTTTCTTGGCCAAACAAGTGAAGATGTTTGGCCATAATGTACAGCACCATATTTGGAGAAAACCACAGCATTTCAATGCAAAGCTCTTATACTGTTCCTCTGTTATCTCGCTTCCCATTTTATTTTGGTATGGGAAGAGAGATAACAGACCATCTCTCTTCCACTTTGTCCTCAATTTTATTTCTAATGTCTCATTGTCTTTGATTAGTTTCACCTGTTCCTTGTTCTCCAGCTGTGCTTCATCATCCCGATTAACCTTAAGTGTTTGTCTACCCGGGTACGTGTGGACATAGCCCCCTTGTCAGTGTCTTACTTTACCCTGTTTGTTGTTCTTGTGTGTCCCTACTTAACAGTCATGCTTTTGCCCTTTTACCTTTGATCTTTAATAAAGGTTTGTTTTTTGTTTATCTTGTTTACTTTGGAGTCCTGCATTTGGGTACTTTACCCACTACAAAACATGACACTATTGAATCATGGTATGCACTCAGCTTTTCACAGGACTGCACAGAGTACCATAAAAACTTTAAACTCAAGACTTTGAATATTATAAACGGAAAGACTGAAGAGAAATTTAATGTACGGACTGTATAGAGAAAGTATGCTGTTCATTCTGTATATGAAAAATATAAACAGAATCTTGAGGAGCTTAAACAAATGGGCAAGAGTCTGATGTCACTTTCCTAGGCCCAGCCAAGAAGTGCTGTTAGCTAAATATTAACCAACCTAGGACTGAAAAATGAGCTTGGTGGTCTTTGGTATGGTCTTTTGTTTGAGCCTCAGACTTTGCCAAAGGGCAGCACAGTAAATTCATCCCAGTGAACCTTGTTTATTGACATCGAGGTTAATGATCAGTGTTTGTGTCTAAATGTCGATCTAATTACAAAAGAGCTCAGATTTTGATTACGTTTATTTATTGACCTATAAATAAACCTGGCACTTCTGACTTCTGGTAGGCTAGATTTAAGTTTATCAAAGCTCTCAGGCATTTTATCATTTTCAGCACTTTCAAACAAAGCAGTCATGTACAAGGAATTTAAAAATATTTGTCTTGAAAAAGAGAAAAAGAGACCCAATCTGAAGCTAAAACAAGACCAGATGGACAGAAAAATAAAGCCTTATCAGACTACAACAGTGAGATAAACACGGCATGACATCCACTTAAGTAATCTAATCTATTAAAGAATATTAATGAGATATTGGTATAAAGAACAGCAGGATGATGTCATAACAAAATAAAATTATTGGCTTATATGCTTTAACCACATTGACTCCAACATAAAAAAAATCAACTATTCTTTGTCTACAGAAAAGATAAACTTTTCTCTGCCTTGACGCAAGTGACTGAAGAGACTACCAACGAGAGCGAAGGGTATGATTGATTGACATATGAAAGGATGGTAGAGGGTTACCTAGGCCCCCACTTTCTGTGGGGATGCCCTGACAGGCATTTAAAAAATATTACTCTACTCCTCTACTGCTGCCATGTCCTCTTCTGTCCCTCATTTGTCCAGGTTCCACAAGTGTTTTAGGGACACAGTGGACACCATGGCAGGATATGAGCTAACAGGTCTTGTGGAATCACCTTGCTAGTCCAAAAATACAATTTATCCCTGTCAAATGTCAAATCTTTGGAATTTCTTGTAGATTCAACTAAAGAAATGTGAACAAAGTTTTTTTTTGAAGGAAGCAAAATGTTAAGAAATGAGATACAGTATACTGTGTGTATGTAGATAAAAGGGAAACAGCTCAAACAGAACATTATATACAGAAAAATCACATTTAAAGTAACTTATTCTTTTTATACTGAATTTATACCTCAGCTCTTCAAAAGACACAAAAACCTCAGAGTTTTAATCATACAAATCTTAGATACACACCATGAGAGGTATGGACTCCTTGCTTCTCTACTTCCTTTTTGCCCCAGCAATAAAATCTATGAAAGATTTTTGACTTCAGTGATTGACTGAACATGATGAGAGTGATCTGACTACTGAGGTGAACCAGACTCGAAATCTTCAAGGATGAAGGGAAGTGAAACCAACCCACTGTTACGCTTCTCTTTAAGGGTACAGAAACTGCTTTCTTTGTAGAAATAGAAATAGTTTGATGCTAAAATGAGCACCAAACCACCTGCTTCTGCTGTTCCACTCCTACTTCTGCACATTTAGAGACAGGAAATTAAAAAGCACACAAGAGAGTCACTGTTTGACTCAAACAGCTTTGCACCAACATAAAAAACAAGCTTTTTGTGCAGCTACTATATGTATGTGTGTAAAAACCTTGTTTTATTTGAGCAAATGGTTCGCTCATTAGTGTTTTTGCTCATGAGTTCTTTTATAGAACTGGCCGTGCTGATAACATCCTTCGGACTGGGTCAAATAAACACACAGTGGGTTAGAAACACTGATAACACTGAGCACACACAGACAGATTCAGCCATGATCCTGACGGGCCGCAGTTTGTGTCTTCCTTCTCGAGCCACCGTCCAGGAGCTCTTCTCGGTGGCTCAAGATGCCAGCATCATCCCTGATATCTCCTTGGACCCTGTTCTCACCACCTTCCTGTCGCTGGACTCGTCAGCTGCGTTGCAGCATCAGTACAACTTCTTACAGCGGAGCATGAGCATGGAGCAGCAGAGCACGTTCAACCTCAACCTGACAGCGAAGCTGGGGGGCAGCAGGGTAACCTGTGGAGGAGTGGGGGTTGTTGCTCTGGCTCTGTCCATGCTTTTTGATCAGGTTGCTCAACAGGTATGTAAAACTGTTGCATTTTAGTGTGAGATTATTTTTTATTATCATCACTTTTCCCCCTCTTTGCTGTGTCTGTGTTCCCACTTTCACTTTACATCCTGTTTTAGTTTGAAGGTCCAATCTTCATGTGGTTTTGTTGCCTTTTTACTTCCTACACTACCCCCAATATTATACCTTTTACATCCTTCTGTCTCTTTAGTATATCATCCTTTCTCATTTCGCTGTTTGTACAATTATAGAAGCCTGTTTCCACCACAAAACTTTATTTTATTTATATATATTTTTTATGTCATACATAATTACAAATGTTGACTTCCTAAATGGAACTTCTGACTCAAAAACAAGAAAATGAAATGAAATTTTGAGTTATTAAGTCAAAAGTTTAGGTTTTGTTTTTAGGATTATAGTTTAACATTTTCTGTTTTGTTTTTCCCACCATACTATATTTATAAATAAATAAATACATAAAATGAAAAACATTTTATTTTGGGTTAGGACATCTTAGTTGGACAGTAGTGCAATAAGTGACAATTGCAGGCTACACTTTAGAAATGGCTCATGATCAAAGTAGCTATTCATTTTACTTGAATTTCTTCCTTCCTAAAAACTGTCCCTACATCTAGTTTCTTACCTCTTACCCTGAGCACACAGGGGAAAAGGGGAAGCGCCCGTTGTTTTAAGAGATTTGATCAGGCAATCCAGTGTCAGTAATAAAAATGAACCACTGGGCTGCTATCAGTGCTTTTAGGGTGGGTGCACAGCAGCCAGCCTGCAGCATGTTTAGTTATATCGAAAAAGAAAAAACAATTATATTGACCCATTGGGCAAATGGCCGGTAACAGTCCAGCCTGGCTTCAGCCACCCAGCCCATGACCCTAAAGTGCATAAGTGGAAGAAAATGGACCGCAGACTAAACAGGGAGTGAGCAGAGGACTAACCAACCTTATGTGCTTGATAGTGTAATTAGATTACTTACATGAGTTAGCTATAAATATACTGACAGTGGTTTAATGGTCTTGCAGCAGGAAGGTTCTGTTCTAAAACCTGTGGCATCTCCAAAGGGACAAACATTCAAATTCTGGGGCTTACATCTACTTTTGGAGAGTATTTTTATTTCCCTCCTGCACCAGATATCTTGAGGATGAAGGAGAGTGATTGTGGATAGAGTTGTATCCTCTATGGAAGCTCCTTTCTTAAGCATTTGGAGAATGTGTGTCACTCTTTGCTCAAATGATGACTGCAATGCAGATACTTTGGTGTCATTTCACTCTGTTAGAAACCTCTCTAAGCAAAATGGACTACTGGAACGTACCCAAGGAGTCACAAATTCATGAAATAAAAAAGCCTTGTGTTTTTTTACCATTTTTCCTCTTTCTGGCTCTCTGTGTTTGGAATTATGAGGTGTCTTTCTTTAATGTCTGAAGTACTCTATTGACGCAAATACTACCTCATTTTCTGTCCGTGTTTGGGCCAGCATGACAGTTTGTGTTATAAACTGTGCTTCATATTCCAAACAGGTCCGAGCACAAGGATCAACAGAGGGTCCCTCGTTAACTCAACCATCCCGGCTTAAGAGGATTTTTGGCATCAGCAGCTCATCGAGAATCGGCTGGATTATCCACAGCTTCCTCACCCTTATCCCAGGCATCGCCAACAACCAGGATCAGATGGCTGAGACCACAGAGCTCTACGATAACTGGCTGAAATTTGAGCTTCTCGACCATTATGAGAGGATGACCACAAGGAAGAGAATGAGTTCAGCGTCCATGCAGCAGTGGCTGACAGGAGCTGCAATTCACCTGCACATGAGAATCCACCAGGTCAGGACAGATAGATGAAAACACATCCAGCTCAGGTTATGATAGTATGTGTTCACTGTAGTGCATCTGTACGCCTCTACATTGTAAAATCTGCTTCGTATGTAGGTAAGTGTTTACATCCCATATTGCAGGTTCTTTCTCTCCCTTTAGATGATAGCACAAAACTAAAGCTACAGAGAGCTTTGAGTGGGAGGTATTGAGTTGATTTTAAAGCACTTTCCTCTTCCTACAGGCCCGTCTGCAGTCTGTGCCATTAGGATCAGTTGAATCAATGCGCATTTCTTATAAGACGGGGTTAGGTCACCTGGTTCGGGGCTATACAGCCTACCTACGCGCAAACATCCAGGAGACTCCAGCTCCTGGTCCACAAAAACCAAGAACCAGTGCTGCCAGAAGACCTAAACATGCTAACACATCTACTATAACCAATATGACATGCTCCAACAGCCTCCTTGTTAATGGTAGCCAGGTTGGTCCAAGTAATAAATCTGCCACACCCAGTTCAACTGCAGGAATTAACAGAGGCTGTAAAACTGATGAATCAGGTGGAGACTTTGGATTTAATGTCCTAAATGGAAGCAATGACACCACGATGACAGGCGACACCCTCTACACTTCATCCAGATACAGCAGGACAAAGGAAGGCAGCATGCTTGGACTGTTAGTCATCGAGCCCTCGAGAAACGTGAGTCACAGTGTGCAGCATCACCCCTGTGAGTCTCCAGCCATACAAGAAGCTCTGGTGACTCGAATAATCAACGTGCAGGACCTGGAGAGCAACAGAAATTTTTTCCTGTATCCTGACGGAGTTTTTCAGAGCCTGCTAAGGCAGAGGGATGACTTCGAACTGAGGACAAATTAGACAAAAACAAATATCTGATTAGTCAGCCACAAAAACTAACACAATGTTGTTACAGCCAGAAAAGCACAAAATTTTGTTTCCTATTTTCTACCAGTGTATTAAACTCGGTCAGTTACCACATATATAAGACCCTTTCAATACAAATTTCACACTAACAGTATGAAATGTTTCACATAATTTAGGAAACAAATGAAAGTGTTTTATTCAAACTGTCATCAAATGTCAAATGTCATTTCAAATTTGAACAGACCCTAATAAAAAACCTCACATTTGCAACAAAGAACTAGTGACAGTTCTTATTTTTCACAATAATGCAAAACACAAACTTTGTAAAATACTTTGAACATAAAATTCATAAAATTCTTAATCATAAAACCTATGGAAATGCAATTTTAATTCAGCTCTATTGCTGGATTGAGTAAACATGACAAGTTGTACCACAAAAGCAAAACTATTAGATACTAATAGATAGTGTAATCCAAAGAGAAGACAATAAAAAATATAGCACACATTGTAATAAATGAAAATCTACACTGAGACTAACCTAAACAAAACCTAACATTGTATACGAGAAAATTAAACTGAAACTTAACATTTAATTAGAATTAAAACTGAACTCCAATGAGCAGTTTCCCGGTGGAGACTACCTGAAATGAAACTGAACTAAAAACAAAACTTAACAATTAATAATAATAAACGTAAATAAAACTGAAAAAAAAAATAGTGTGAAATTTCATTATCATTTACTGAGTTGCTTTATTTTTAACGTAATTTGTTTACCTAAAGATATAAATTAATAACAGGGCGTACATCTGTGGAGGGGCACCACCACTCCAATTGTACAGTAACCAGCTGTACTTCAGCTCCGGATGCAGCAGGAGGCGCTATTCAACAGTGAATAGTAGTGAACGCAGCTAAACGGGTAAAATGATTTTTCCCTCCTTCTAGACAAAAAAAGTGCACATTTCAGTTTAGTTTATGTAAGAATAGTATTCATAATATTATTATAATATCATGACTGGTTTTGCTTGTAAGACGCTATGATTCAGCTAATGCTAATTTCCCTAACAGGTATTTTATTACAATTTTTTTAAAAAAACAATTATATTTAATTTCGTAAGCTCTTTCACCAAATCAGGAAAAAAACCAAACAAAACCTGAAATAATAAAAATGTTTGTTGCAGGAAATTTATGCAATTCATTCGCGGGATCCGCCTACTTTGACGCATGCGTGTGTTAACCGCGCCTTCATTTCCGTAAACTAGCATGAACAGGAGCAACGAGGGTTACTGTGAAGCATCCATACAGCAGTTATCATAAGGTACGTGTTTGAATTTCTGCTGTTTGTTATTTGTCCATAATATTTTATTTCCCCCCCAGTAAAAAAACAACACCCAGCTACACTACAAGGCTGGCTAAGGCTGATGCTGTGAGGCGTCACGCTAAAACAAAGTAGGAGAAAAAGTGTCAAAACGTTGTTGAACAGTCATTAATGTATGCCACGTTGTTAGAAAGTATGTGTAAGCTAAAGCTAATGTTGCTTACACTTACTGCATTGTGTTATATTTCCGCTACCAGGCGTTTAACATGGCTCTGTAAGCCACTACGTAGGTTAGCTCATATGCTACAGTGCTAACATTGTTATTGGGGCAAATTCCTGTGAGATTAGGTTTCAACTAGTAGGACAGTCCTCCATCTTTTTTGTTTTAGGTCGGGGGACCACGAGCTTCAAGCATTTCTAGTAATAACTCAGACTGTACCTGGGGTTGCCTGCATATACATTGGGCATCACCTCATGATTTTTAGGTGTCTTACATGCCCGCTCTCTGCGTAATGGCCTTACTATGATGGAAGACTAGTTCACCACACCCGGTCACTGGATGTTGGGGAAACTGCAGTTTGGTGCTCAGTATATTCCCAAGTTGTGTAAAAAATGAAGCCTTGAGAGGAGACTGCACGAGGAAGTCTGGGCGTATCTGGGCTGGTTCTGTTAGATAACGCTGTCAATTGTATGTGTGGGTGTGGTGTTTAAAACCTTATTGAGCAAACAAAAGGGCAAACTCAGCCAGGGGTGGCGACAGAGACAGTACAATATTGTCAAAAAGTCAGCTCATTCATTTATATTTTGCAGGTAACCAGACTTTTTATTTTTAGAGTTGTCTTGAGCAGTAGTTTTCCAGATTTTTCTTTGGATTATTTTTTTCACTCATATTCAGTCTAGTTCTTGTACCTGACCACAGTGATATTTGAGAAGTGAAATGAAGTTTATTGGATTTACAGAAAGTGTGCAATAATTGTTTAAACAAAATCAGGCATAAATTTGGGCACCACAAAAAAAGAAATGAAATCAATATTTAGTAGATCCACCTTTTGCAGAAATTACAGCCTCTAAACGCTTCCTGTAGGTGAGAATCTTGATCGTGGTTGAAGGTATTTTGGACCATTCCTCTTTACAAAACATCTCTAGTTCATTCAGGTTTGATGGCTTCACAGCATGGACAGCTCTCTTTAACTCACACCACAGATTTTCAATAATATTCAGGTCTGGGGACTGAGATGGGCACTCCAGAACGTTGTACTTGTTCCTCTGCATGAATGCCTAAGTGGATTTTAAGCAGTGTTTCGGGTCGTTGTCTTGTTGAAAGATCCAGCCCCGGCGCAGCTTCAGCTTTGTCACTGATTCCTGGACATTGGTCTCCAGAATCTGCTGATACTGAGTGGAATCCATGTGTCCCTCAACTTTGACAAGATTCCCAGTCCCTGCACTGGCCACACAGCCCCGCAGAATGATGGAACCACCAAAAATTTGAGACAACTTAAGTAGTGGAATAAGAAGTGGCAAGCCTAAAAAAAAATATCTCTAGCGGATGAAGAATATTTGAAAATCGTGTCCTGGAAAACATCTGATTGGCAACGGCTTTATTTTTCAGTATGACAATGATCCCAAACACACTGCCAGTGCAGTAAAAATATACCTGGATAGAAAACCACAAAGTGAAACACTATCAGTCTGCCAGTTTTGCCTTCCCAGAGCCCGAACCACATTGAGACAGCGTGGGATTATCTTAACAGAGAACAGAACAAAAGGCAGCTGACATTCAGTGAGATTGCAGGTTATGGTGTGATAGATTTTTTTTAAGAGCTTTTTTTCCCACATAATATCTAAATAGTTTGAACATTTTATTGCAGAGAGGTGGAGCCAAGCTTCATTAAATTGAACTAGATTTTCTCTTGCATGGTCAGTTGTGTTGTAGTTTCACTGTAATATAGACAGAAGCTTCTGCTTGTTGATTTGCATTCACTGAAGTAAATTCAAATCATCGGCAGAAATGTATTTACATCTCTTTAGCATGTACTGTAAAATTGGCTTTGGTGATTGATGTGAATGTTTTTACAGAGCTGAACAAAATGTCAGATCCAGACTCTGATTCTGATAATGGTGTCTTGGGCAGAACCAGACCACCTTTGGTGAGTTAAAAATCTTTTAATAAAATGATTTACTTATTTTATTTTTCTTTCCTTTATGTCACTGATTAACATTTTCCCCCTTTTGGTCACTCAGAAAATGGAAGATATGGTCATCACCTTTCGTCCATCAGGTAAAAAGCTGCCCAAACAGTTATAAGGAATTAACCCTATAATACTAATGTTGAGTGATTAATTTTTTTCACCCACATGATTTTCATTGTTTTTTTCTTTTTGTGACAATGTACATGAGGAAATAAGAGTAATTTTTTGTCGTGTATTGTTGTAATCTAATATACTTTTATGGGAAGTGTGTTTTATCAAGTAAATGATACGTGACGTTAGTGGTAATGCAAGAACTGCAAATTGGTGTTCTAGAATTAACCTTACATACTGGGTTATCATAATAATCTGATAATAACTGTGTTCTTTAATGTCATATACCAGCGGTCCCCAACCTTTTTTGCGCCATGGACCGGTTTATGCCCGACAATATTTTCACGGACCGGCCTTTAAGGTGCCGCGGATAAATACAACAAAATAAAACGAGCACCGGTACCAAAAAAAAGAAGATTTATTCATAACACACGTGAAAAGACCCAGAAAAACAGAGTTAATGATAAAAACGATAATAAAAATAACGCTGAAAACCAATAAAAACCCTGAAAACCATACATTTCACACCTGAGCCTCAACTCTCGCGGCCTGGTACCGGTCCGAGGCCCGGGGGTTGGGGACCGCTGTCATATACAATCAGAAATTTATTACATTTAATGTTGAGCAACCCTTTTAAATGACACCTTATGCAATAACTCAAATGTATAATATCATTGCTAATGAATAAAGTTCATGTTTTTACTTGCGTAAGTAAAAACATGCACTTACATTTTTAGACTCACTTGCATATTGCACTAATCTTAGAGCAAGGGTCACATCTTTGGTCTGCAGCTGCACATAGCCTCTTTGGTGTTAAAACGGTGCTGTTTACTAAAGAGAAACTGTTAGTTTTGTCACTGAAAAGAATGAACACAGGTGATTTTACACTGACCCTTATATGCATTTGTAGGAATCTTCCTTTGATAAATTACTGTAGAATAAAGCAAATTCATCCCACCTGACCACCTCAGTTTTTCATAGAAAGATTTGGAGGCATATAGAAACAATGTTTTCTCAGATAGAGGAGTGATGTGATATACCCTGAAATGATATACCCTGATGCAGCTGTTACAGTTTGCACCAGTTTATTTATCTAGGATAAGATAGGAGATGCTATCAGGACAGTTGTCTAACTGATGCAGGTGGATGACTCAAACTGAGGGCAAGATGCCTCAACTTTGCATCATGTAGCGCCCCATTGAGTCCTCGCCCTGCATGTTTAAAACACTGCTGGTGTCGTAGTCTTCAATTCTGTTTAGATGGTAGAAAACAGGTTGAGCCTGTACCAAAATGATGGGAAAATTGGAGAGTACACAAAAGAAGAGAAACAGCTCTTGATCGGAAGCATACCACATTGTCTATCAAACATTATGGACACAATGTTATGCTATGACCACGTATGACTGCCAGTGGAAATGAGTCACTAGTGTGTGCGATGATGTGACTACTGATATAAGTAGCAGTACAGGGCTGTACTTTTAGGTCAGATTCAGAGAAATGCTGTAAAATTTATTAGAAGTGCTTCACAGTGCAAATGGCTAATGACCGAGAACATAGTGCAAAAGCAACCCAAGAGTCTCTCAAGGAAAATAAATTGGATATTCTATACTGGCCAAGTCAGTCACCTGATCTCAGCTCAACAGAGGAGCT